GGAAAAAAATAGCAAGCAGGAAGTAAAGATTGTATCTCCATACCCTGGAGTAGGCCCCCCACTGTCCAGGTTGAAAACTTGTTTGGGGTTGAGCAGATAGTGGAATTTCCGAAGAATTCTATGGAGAAAAAAAAAGAAAAGGAGAGAGAGAGAGGGAGAGACAGAGAAGGAGCACGTCATCACAAGAAGTCACAGTAGGGCAAACACCTGGGAAGCCCAGCCATGGTGGGAATGAGGGGCCATTCCAACCAGAGAGGGGGGAAGCCTGCACACAGGCCCTGCAGACCCTGAAGTCCCAGGTTCACCTGGCATCACCCACGGCCTCACTCCCTGTTCAAGGCCACCCGACCATCCCAAGACTCTAGCCTCAAACCCCAGGAGCACCACTCCACGCAGAAAGGATAGGGCAGGGAAACCCAGAGCACAGAAACCTCTCAAATGTTCCTTAAGTTCTAGGTGGTGCAATTCTGCCCTTTGTGGACTGTACAAAGGCATCCAGGGCCCCCCTAGGGAAAGGCTCCCACAGTCCTGGGAACAGGAGGAAATGTGGGAGGTATGGGGTTGGTTAGGGTGGGGCCGGGGCAGGGGAGGGCTGAGGGGCAGTGACCACACACACATAGGCTTGGTTTCAAGGCTCCATCTTGAGAAGAGTCTGGTCAGTTTCTGAGGGGTGGCCTGTCACCTGGACTGAGGGAGGGTCTTCCTAGTTCTTGCTTGAACCTTACTTTGTATTTTTTAACCTAGATTCCAGATCATCATGTTATCTGCCCCTGAGTCCAGAGCTGGACAGGCAGGGAGGCAGAAACACTGCCTTACACTCTCTCCTGCCTCCCACTCTACCTAGAGCCTTCAGCCCCCAGCAGACTGGGCATCTCCTCCACTGATGAGGGGGTTCCTGCCTTCTCAGGGCTGGGGACAGGCCAGCAGGCCCCAATCAGGTAAGTCCTGGGAGGCTAGGAAGGAAATAGGCATCTCAGACTGAGTGACCCAGGGAGACTTAACGGTGGCTCATGTGACAGGTGCTGGGCAAAGCACGTTGACTCTTTTAGCCCTCACAACAACCCCAGGAGAGGGGAAATCATTATCCCCATTTTACAGAGGAGGACACTGAGGCACAGGGAGGTTAAGTTACTTGGACCAGGTCACAAAGTGGTAAGTGGCAGGGCTGGGATTTGAACTCAGGTTTGTCCGTCTCCACAATCCACTCTGTTATGGTTGAGGGGAGGAAAGGGCCCAAGCGGGGCTGTTCTAGCTTCTCCACTTGGAAAAAGAAGAGAACATACCTTTCTCCTTGTCTCCCTCCACTCTTGGGGTTCACCAAGACCAGCAGGGGATGGGTACCCGGGGTGGGGACGATCTTATACTTAAAAAGTAAAAGAAAGAGAAATTAGCTCTGCTTCATCCAATGGAGGGAGGGTGAGACAAGAGATGCGGTCAAGCAGCTTCTGGGAGAGGTGGATGGGAGGCAGTCCCAGGCATGGGGGAGAGGAGCTGCAGGAGGTAGGTCTTTGTCCACAGGCTGAATTTGCTGAGTGGCTAAACTGTCTCCAGCTTGAGTGGCCTTTAAGTAGTGCTCACAGCGACAAGGGTTTTAGGTCAGGATCAGAAATGGGGCAATGGCACTGTAGCTTCAAATCATGCAACGACGGTGTGTAATTGAATCCACAGCACAATATTAGATTTTGTGAGGGATGCAACTGAATTCGATCTTCGAAGGTATGACTGTCTGGTCATACAGATAAATAAAGTGCCCCTCCTAGAGTTAACTATCACTTGCAGCCCAGTGCCTTCCAAATTGACATTTCTAGCCCCAATATTCCTCCTGAGCCCTGACTGTACATCTTTCACTGTCTAGTGGGTTCCTTCAACTGGACGTCTCACCATCAGTACAAACTCAACATGCCCCAAACCTGACTTATCTTCTTTTCCCATTAAACTGGCCTCCTCTCT